AAAGAAAAAGAAGAACATATTATTAGGAATACTAGAAAAGATCTTTGTAGAACATCTTAAAAATCAGAGGATCTTTAATGAAATACAAGAAAGATTCTTGGGAAGAAGACCAAGTTTTAGAAGGGAAAAGAAGAGTAAGAAGAACAAGAAAAGAAGAGAAGAAGATTTCTATATCCTGAATATGAAAGAAAGAAAACTTGGGCAAACTGATCAAGACCTCGAAACAAAGAAATCGAAAGAAAACTTAAGGTACTTAAAGGAAAAGAGAATGTATAGAAGAGTATTTTCGGAAGAAACCGATAGATCAAGCCCTCAAGCAGAAGAAGAAAAGAAGTACGAAGCTATAAACCAGGAAGGGAAAGTTATAGAAAAGATCAAGAGAAGACTCTTAAGACCCAGATCATAAATTAGAAAAGACAGGTTAAACTAGAAGAGAAGAAAAAGGAAAAGAAATATAATCACAAACGAGAAAATTTTGGCAATATCTCTGTGTTGGAAAAAGAAGTGCCTTGGTCTATTCACAGAAAATTAGGTTTAGAATTTTGTTTAAAAAAGGTGGATAGTTTAGAAAGAGAAAATTGCCAATGTAATGTAGTTAAAAATTCATTCGTTTTGAAACCGTCTTGTGATGGTTTTCTAGACTAGCTTGGTATAGTTCTTCGGTACAAGCAATAGCTTTAACCAGTGAAACAGACCGCACTTGGGCATCCTTAAAGCAGCCAAATGATGTCAGATCTTCAACTTAAATAGCTTAAATGTACCTTGTATATGCTTTGATTTAATAAAAGATACCAGTGAGGCTGCTGATACATGGAAAAAAAAAATATGAGTATACTAACTTGATTAAGAGATTAAAAATATTTGTATTATATAAGAGAATGTTCACTAAAGTTAATCTTTAGTATAGATAGATATATATAGTATAATTATTATATAATTATAAAGATATATTTAATTTATATCAGAAGATATTGATTTTTTTTTTTTTTTTTTTTAATTTAGCGGTCCTGCCTATTACTCTTTATTGGTAAGTACTAAAACTTATATCAATAGGGAGATATAATTTTCTATACTATATTCCATGTGAGTAAAGATCAACTTGAGCTAAGCTTAGAGAACAACCCATCTAGCAGCAATTGGCTTCACATTGGATCCTCAACTTACTGAGAATATGAACCCTCTGATCTTTAGCCTTAGCAGCTACATGCTTCATCAAAAGAGCCAAATTAACAAAAGCACAAACACAAAAAAAAAAAATAAAACAGAAGGTAAAAGAGAGTACGATAAAGATACAAACAAGAAAGAAAAAGGGGTAAGGGGATATCGAGAAAAAGAGAAAAAGAGAAAAAAGAAATTTGCCTATTCTAATGATCACTATTATAAGCCCGTGAATGGTTTATAAAAATTACATACTACTAAATAAAATAATCCCTACTTTAAATTTATCTAAATAGTATATGAAAGCTCAAAACCAGTGGAAAAATACTTCTTCGACCATAGAACGTAAGGGTCGATACTCGATCCAAGTCATAGAATATTGCTTAATCAGATTGTTGTATTTGAGATACATGCCTTGATGTGTTTGTTGTCCTGTTGTATCGATTTAGGAAGTAAACAATACCAACTGTTTTGGTGCATATGATGTCGATCTTTTGGAGAGGTAAGCTGAAATGCCCACTTTTTTCAAAAATTTTCTCGAAAAAAAGTGATAGGCTAACAAAAGTATATGAGGTTCTTTTTTAAGAGTTACAGTTGTATAGTTTAGTTCCTCTGTTTCTGCTAGATATTTTTGCATAGAGATCTGCAAGGATGTTGCTCCCAAAATATCCTTTTGGTTTGGATATTGAAAGTATAGGAGAGTCCACTTCTTTTTTTCTGCTGTTTCAGAGACTCCTTTGGTTTGAATGCTGAACGCACAAAGGAGTCTACCCTGATAACTTGAAAAGAGGCTTGACCTCTGTGTAAACCGTCTACAATACCTGCGCTTCGGTATATCACGTTTAAGAACTTTGTCAACAACAGCTTGTAAAAAAAAAGAAGCTTGACCGTGATACCAGACCCACTTTTTGCTTATACGCCCACTCCTTGGTATTTCATGTATATAAGTTTAGTCGACAGCAAGTATGAAAATATAAACCAAAAATATCATAGTGTCTACTTTATCGCTTTTTTATAACTTTAACTATAGTTCGATTTTTTTGTTGTTAACCGAGAAGATATTGATATCCACCTCTAATTTTATTATAAAAAATAGTTTTTTGCTAAAATTTAGAGTTAGAGTACAGTTTAATACTAAAATAGAAATTAGATATAATACAGTAGTTCAAATTTTTGATTATACAAGTTTTTTAAGATTTTAAATATTTTTATTTAGTACACTTAATACTGTTTTTGGGGGGGTTTTTTTTTTTTTTTAATATTAAGGTGACCACTTTGGGGTTTGGCACGGTTTATTAACTTTACAGGTCAATTATCAGGATACTGAATAGGTACCCTTAACTTTGTTACATCAACAAGAGTATAATTGGCCACATGTATAACTTTAGTCATTGCCTATTTAAGAGCTCTGCTATATCTATTTCTATCTATAGTTACCTACTAATTGTCATACCTAAGATTCGCTTGTGGATCCCCTATTTAAATCTTCTGATCGACTTAGCACTGTCAGATGCTTTTCCTAGAAGAATTCCTGCCGCTAAGGCCTTTAGAACTACTTTATCTTTGTGGTAAATCTACCAGAGCGATCCATGTCTCACACATATATCAACTGGGTTTTTCAGTAACTTACGTCCAATCCGAGGACTGGTACTTGCAGCTTTTGTGACTACTACCATTATCTACTCCTTGTCCTTACAAGGTTCGTTCCGATCCCGATACCTACTTTCAACCAGTCCTTATATCAATCCCTCCCCAACTACCAAACCAGTTAGCCCGGAAAGGTTGTTATATCTAGGCTCTAAGTGCCTTCTGGTTTTACTTCCCTTGGTTCTGAATTCTGTAGCATCAGACCTTTTTCTTTGGTATGACTCCGGCAGCCAGGTTGGTAGACCCTTCTTGCCCCAGGGTTGTTCGTCTGATTCTTCAGTCTCTGGTTTCAATTTTCTGTAGTATCATCAAAGATCTTTACTACTTCTAGCTCAAGTCTTGCCAAATAGGTTTCAAATATTCCGGTTCCTTGGATTTAGATCGCTCTAAAGCTTCTATTTCGAGATAGTAATACCAAGATTATAGGTGATATACTCAACTGATCGTTGAATAAATGTTACCAGAATACAGGTCTATTTTTTAAAAAATGTCTTCGGTAAGAATCGAACTCTAGACCTGCTACTTGGAGGGTAACAACTTAACAACTACTCTATGTCGCCACTCTTCTACTGTTTCTTAGTTATGTTTTTGAGATATAATAGTTTTTATTAAAATTTAAGGTTATTATATAGTTTTACGCCAAAATAGAAATAAATATAGTGGTCCAAATTTAGGTTATACAAAGTTTTGAGAGGTTTTAAATATTTTTATTTAGTATGTCTGATCCTGTTTCTTATTCAGATTTTTGAGATATAGTATCCTGGATATCAATATCACCTGGTATAAATTATAAATTTTCTAATTATAATATATATAGTCAAATCTTGTTATAGTCACAGGTTCAGGAAACAAAATCTAGATGATTATAAAAAGGTGTAACTATATTAAAAAACCTTTATATAATCACTTTAATAGTAAATAAAAAATTTTGGTGACTATATCAAGTAATTATAATTTTTTTTAAATGCTATATACCAACAGAACAGTTAACTTTAAATGGAGCTATTAGAGCAGGGCAACCCTCAAATTAGATTAATAATACAGCTATTCTATACTGATATAACTAACACAATTCACATACAAAAAGCTCACTTTTTAGAAATCACTCTAGTAGTTGCCATTATAAGTTTCTACACAGTCTATGTCTAATAAAATCTGTTATCTGATTTAGTCATATAATACGAATTACTGGTACGTACGTAATCAGTTTATATGAATAGTAGTGCAATTAATTCTTTCAGATATTAATGCTAATACCGAACTACTCTTTATTCAAGACTTTATTATATTCAAATATGAGTGATGTCAAGGGAAAGCCAGACTTCAAGATTTTAAACTTATAATTTACCGGACTCAGGTTTTAGAAAATTTGTATAGTTGAGTTCAATAAATTTTAAATTTAAAAGCCCGAGGCCTGGCTTTCTTTTAATGTCTCTTATATATTTTTAATATGTTAAATATAGAAACAAATGGTAAATTTCACTTTATATATTATTATTCAAATCAAAAAATTAATATAAGCTAATTAAATAATATTTATTACAGATTAGAAATCATATGAAGATAGATCTAGTTATAAAGGATCGTAGCAAGCTAAGATTTAAATAAATTTAACGATATTTAATTTATAATATGTTTTAATATTAACAAATTAAAATTTATTTATTTATCTATTTATATTCTAGAAGTACGAATCTTGAGAATAAAAAGAATATGAATTTTGCGAATCTAAATTTTGTAAATCTGAATCTTGAGAATATGTATCTTGGTAATACAAATCTTGAGAATATAAGTTTTGATCTTGGGAATATAAATCATAAGAATATGAATCATAGGAATATGAATTTTAAGAGTTAAAAAAACTAGTAATTTTTGTTTGTTTTTTTGACTTTTCATAGATACGCTTATATTCTTTGAATAGATTTCTTAAAAATCCTAATTCATCAAGGAAGAGATTTGATTCTAAATTTCCTGTTCTTCATAGCAAATAATAGTTTGCATTGCATTACATGCTTCAGCAGCTGTTACAGGTGGGTCAGGTATCTCATCTTCATCTTTCTCTTTAACTTTCTGTCTGATTAATTCTTTATTTTCTTCATCTTGAACTATAGCAATAATTCCCTCATCATCAAGTATTTCTTCTGTCACAACAGGTTCATCAATTATTTGTAGATATGTTGTTATAGCTTGGGCTGTTTCTGATACGTATGAACTTTTATCTGGTAATTTAGCAACTATTTCTTCAATTTCCTCTTCCTCTAGAACATCACTTTCATCGTTCTGATCCATATCTGACTCATTCGTGCCAGGGAGAATTTTTGTCTTGTTTAAGCAGTTTTGAATAGTTGTATCACTTATATTGTCTCATAATTCTGCAATGAAATCGATCGCTTTTTTTACTGAGATTTTTTTTCTATAGAAAAATAAAATTAGTTTAAACAATAATAATTAAACATAATAATTGAGAAGTTTTAGAATTAAAAATTTAATTTTAATTAAAAGAGGTAATATGTTTGTTTTTAGATAAGGTTGTATTAATTTTATTTTAACAAATTTGAATTATTGCTATTGAAAAGTTTACTAATTTCAAATTTTGAAATCCAAATAAGATTTTTAATATTCTCCTTTATTTCTAAGAAATAATCTATTTTTCACCAGTGGTTACGGTCCTGCCTTTCATTTAGAATTGTATTTAGGATTAGAAAGGTCATAATATGTAGCAAAATTCTAAGGATTTTTTTTTTTTTAAGATACAGAGGTTAATTTTATAGACATAATTTTGTTATTTTGATTAAAAATTTTGAAGTTTTTGAATTGTACTTGGGACTGCAACTGCTGGCAACAAATAAATTCGTTCTATTTTTATTTTTATTTTTATTATTTTTTTTTTTTAATTCTGAAATTCCTTATTATATAAACTTTTCAGTATCAGCATTAAATTCAAATTGTTTAAGAACATATTCACAGTATAGATGTTTATATTTTAACTTGAATGACTTGATTATACCAATATCTATGGGTTAGAGATATGCAGTTGTGTTGGGTGGAAGATAATGCAAGGTAATATTTATAAGCTTCAATATTCCAGAGTATTCTTTATTATTTTGCAAGAAGAATTGGTGCAAGTAATTTCTGGTTTTCTACATGGTCTTCTACATGGTCTTCCTCGTGGCCTTCCTTGTGGCCTTCCTTGGAGCCTTCCTCGTAGCCTTTCACATGGCCTTTCTTGTTCTTCAAATAGCATTCTTTTATCTTTAGAACTAGAGGAATCATTCATCAAATCTTCATATTTGGAATTTAATTGATAACTATCATCCTCAAGGCTATTATGTGATTAATTTTATTTTTAGGTGGTTCAGGGTTAAGTGATTTATTTGTATTTTTAGGTGGTTTAGGTGAACTGTGTGATAGAGTATTATCTACAAGAAGCAAAATTTTCTATTTTGAATATGAAATCCAGAATCAATGTAGCATAGCCATTTTTCCCAAATGTCTGATCTCATCTATATCTGATTATTATTCCTATAGGTGACGAGAAGTTGTAACAATTTTATGCTGCTAAAACTTCATGGTTTTTTTGAATACTGATAACAAGAGGTCGAAGTTTGTGCAAACCAGTTGCATTCGCAGCAAGTAGCACCGTAAACTATGATTTATCCTATAATAAATATATTAAGTAGATATTAAATAGATATTGAAATAGTATTTTATATTTTATTTTTATTTTTTATTTTTTATTTTATTTTATTTTATTTATTTTTATTATTTTATTTTTTTACTTATTTAGTTTTTTATTTATTTTATTTTAATCTGTTTTGATCCAGCAACAGCTTGCTTCGCTAATATCTGGTTTGGCAACAATTGGTAAAACAACCCCATTTTATCAGCATTATATATATCCTCCAACTCATATTGAAAAAGTAATTTTTGAAGTTTTATTCTTTCATTTGGCAGAGATTCTAAAGATGTACTTGTGGCTTCACCGTAAAGTTTATACTGATATAAAGAATTTTATTTTTTATAATTTGTTATCTACCTATTTGAGAACTTTAATTCATCTTTAGAAATACCAAGAAGTCTTTCAAATTCATGACCTTTTGATTTCATCAATTCATCTGTAAAAACTAGACTAGCAGCCAAAACTTGATCAACTCAAATATTTATTGCTTTCTCAATTGAAGAATATTTTGGATCTCGGTTTTTATAATAATTTTGTATCACAGTATTTTCCTCAATATGCAGATATTGATCCTTTTTTTTTAATATTTTAGAAACGGTTGATCGATCAAGATTTAATTCTGGGTATCTTCTTTTAAATTCATCTGCAATATCTTGATACTTTGCCGATGAGTTCTTAATGGAATATTCACAAATTTGTTTGTGCTGGGTATTATTTATTTGGCTACGTGTTTTTGTAGGTGTTGAACCAGGAAGCATAGTGAAAAAGAAAAAAAATCGAAAAAAAAAGAATAAAAAAAGAAAAAAAAAGAGAAATCAAAAAATAATGATAAATGAGAATTATAAAAATGTGTATTTTCGCTTAGAATAGAACTTGGTTTGGCATTTTTATTAACTTTAAAATGTGCTCTTTTTATAATTATTTAGGTACCTAATCATAGAGAAATTCAAAAATACAGGAAAATAGATATAAAACCTGTGTATTCCATATAAGAACTTCATTTATGTGTATGCGATTTAATGCACATTGTCTGCACATAATTTTTAAAAATGTATATTTTTACCCATATCAATATGCGATGGGAATATTTTAACTATTTTCTTTTTCTCTCTTGAAATATTTGATTTTTATCTAATTTTATCTTTTTTTTTTGCCTTATAGATTCGATGCCTTATCTATTATCACAAGCAACGCAACCTATTCTGTGATTTCTCCTTTTTTTTTATTTATTATCTGCTTCTTTCTTTATCTACATTTGATCAGTACTTCTGCACAAGTAAAGTGATATCCAATATGGAATCAATAGGGTTATCTGATACTACAAAATTTAACCTTATTGACATAATATTGCTTATGAATTTTGGTGCAAAAAAAGAGGTTAATCGGAAATCAATAGATTACTTGATTATTGCAAATTTCAATATCAATATCAATATAAAATCAATAGATTAAATTTGGCAATAATCGGGACCCTATTGATTTCTGATTGACTTCATTTTGTGCTAAAGGTAAATATGATGCTAATTTGGCAACCCTATTGAATATTATTTTACTTGTGCTAGTATGCATAAGCGATTACATTCATTTGGGTCATATTTATCCATTAAAACTTTAGTATTATAATCTAATTTTTTTTGTCCCAACTCATATTGGATCCAAAACTAGTTCCTACTTATATTATATACCTATGCGTATACCAAAATTACTATGATTTCATTTGTAAAACTACTTGACAAAACAATTATTAATTATTTAAATACTATAAACACTAACATATGAATCTTTTTCTTAGAAATAACCTTATAGCAATTACTAAAATAAAGTAAAGATCTGCACAGGCCTAAAAATTTGTACTTTTGCTAGCCCGTAAAATAAAATTTATTATATTTTTTTAAAGTTCAGCCGCAACTTGACACACCAGATCTGCAATTTTGAGAGGTTGTTAAAAATTTTAAATTTCGGTCTGGACCGTACAGGCTTCTACCGTAAAGTGCTATATAAAAAATCTCTCGATAAATCAGATCCCCTATGAATAAGACCGAGTCTATAATATATATAAAAATATAAGAGACCTAAGTATATAAACTAAAGAAATAGAATAAATCCCTCAATTATCATATGCATACTATACAAAAGATCTCTGGGTCTAAATATAGGTTTTAAAATTGGTGAAATATAACAGATCCGAATCTTTTATATGACAATATCTCATTAGAAAATTTTCAAGTCAAAAACCTATATGTTATTACTACACATATTATAAGTGTCTTTGGCATGATAGC